TGAGAATAGTATTGCTTTCAATTTTAAAATTTGGCATAATTTAGCATAATTTCTATCAGTCCTTAGCATAATTTTATTCGCATCGCTGGTCACACTGTGGTAAACAGAGTGGTAAACATTAATAACCACATTGATCGTCGCCCACAAATACCACAATACGCCAAGATGTTGCCCGTGCGCTGTTGTCATATTAAAGTGCATCAGGAATAATACTAAACGATTTAATTTTGCAATCTTAGTGTGAAAGCAAATTTACCAATATGAGTTATATCAAAGTAACACGAAACGCTGAATGGCATATTTGAGTAATATCCTAACTTCGAAACGGCAGTGTAATCACCCTGGTCTCAAATTACGCCAGTTTGTAATCGTGTATATATCCCAGAATTATTATATGGAACATCAACAGGAAAAACACATTAGGAAGCTCCATCTTCAGGAGTAGGATACTCCTGCAGACAAATATTGTTGGGCGGGCATCGAGGACAGTATACAATGGGTACCAACGAAACAGGTGTACCTGAAGTTTCTCCACACGTTCTCATTATCACATTACGAACTCTATTCTTGATCCTGTGCACTTTCTTGACGATTGGCGGGAACATTCTGAGTATTTTGGTCTTAAATCGACTGGACTGCATGTCGGAAGTTCCAAAGATATTTCTGCTTTCTCTTGCATTTACCGACCTCTGCATGGGACTTTCAACCGATTTGTTTTCGATCATTCCTGCAATTATTTCTTCGTGGCCATTTGGAGATGTATTCTGTAAAGTAATCGGGATTTCTGGCAGTATCTTCTGCGGCGTGTCTTTGTTATCGTTGTTGTCGGTGAGTGTCGATCGCTACATTGCTATTTCGAAACCGCTGCACTACATACAGCTAGTGACCAGACCCCGCGCTCTCTGTGTGGTCATCACCATTTGGATTTTCACCTGTATTTTAGTTACATTATCATCAATTCTAAAGGGTGAGAGCTCAGTAATTTATAACCCCCGTCTCTGTACATGTATGGTGGCATGGGGCGATTCAGAGTTTAAACTATTTAACCTCATTACACTATTCGCATTCATCATGGTTCCTGCCATTGGGATGTTACTTCTTTACATCAGGCTGTTTCTCATAAGTAGACGGCACATTCGTAAGATTGAAGTAGAGTCGATTTCAAACACTGGCAATCCACCGGTGATTTCCAGACAGGAGAATAAGGCTATTAAAACGTTATTTATCGTTACAGGAGCATTTAATGTTGCTTGGTTGCCGTTTTTAATTTCTCACTCATATTTGGCTATCACCGGTAAAGATATCGATGACAGCTTATTATTTTTTATTCTTTGGCTGGCGATCTCAAATAGTTGGTGGAACGTTTTAATATATTCTGTTACCAATCGTGCATACAGAAATACCGCGTCTGCATTTTTAAAATCGCTTTTGCCAGGCAGCAGGAACGTTGTGCAAAGATTCAATAATG